AGACAAAAACTGGCCATCATTTGCCCTCGAGGAGGGTGTGTGCTCTGAACAGACATGATCTTGTTCACAGTGCCCCATTTATAACACCATGAACAATGAACGACCCTATCTAATCATTCTATATGTTCAAAGAATTAAGGGAAGAGAAAGACATTGAATGGACTACAACATTATCACACAGGGGCTGTAGCTTTAGTGTGAAGAAAATTTATATGTCCATAGGCAAGACTGAATGGACATGCAAAGGAGAATCACAAGCTCTGTAGTCTGATGAGCCATGATAAGGAAGTCAAACGACAAAATGAATCGTTACCATATCTACATGAACTTCACCCTAGAGTTGATGTGTAGGAGCTAAATGCAAGTATGTAATGCATGAGTGCATTCGACAGTGATCATGTTTCTTAAATTTTCATGCTCTGCGTTTCTATTACCATGTTGAAATAAAGTAATAAGACACTTTGCCTCCTCCAATTGTGGGATGGACATCGGTCCATGCCAGCAGCGTTGCAGAACTTTTACACATCAGTAATGTCTGATATACGACAGCACTTCGTCTCATCATGTATTCAGAGAGGGCTAAAGACGTTCGCTTTTGCTTAAAGCAAAAAGCGAAACACCATTGTTCATAAATGGTGGAAACTATATAGGAGATAAACACAAGTGCTAATGTAGTGAAAAAATGTTTTAAAAGCCGCAAATAAAAACTTTGCACGAGGTTTTTTAAGTGTTACAATTCGGTTTCACAGCTCTCTCCAAAACCTAAGAATAATATTGCTTTTAGCAAGCAAGTTTTCATTCTTGCAAATCTGAAGTTGCAATATTTTTTTCTTACGAAAATTGGTAGAAGCGAGAAAACCATGTGCGTTACAAACAGTTTGTCATTTTTTCCACATCAAATAACCCATGTACGTATTTGGCGGCATATATAAAGCATTGAGCCTCGGCTTTGTCGTGGTAAGTGTAGTTCGTTTGTCGTTTGTATTCTTGCGCCTGGGGTTTCGATTAATGTTTGCAGATTTTGAATGCACATTTCTTTTTCGAAAGTATATCATTGCACGCAAGTCTAGATAGCTGTTGTTGTGGTTTGCTGGTCTCACGGTTTCTATAATGCGCGTGTTTGAATACTTAAGTGCTTTTGTGGAGTGAGTTCATCTAGCCACTGCGTTGTTTTTCTTTCATAGTAGTCTGGTCTCTTCTCATTCTAGTGTTTTCAGTCCTCTTGAAGTCGTGACGTGGGAGAAGGAGTCGCACTATTTGCATATTCCTTGCCGGCGTATAATTTACTTGCAAGGATACGGCTGTTGAAATGATAGGTTTACCGCTTAAGGGGATTTGAACTCTTTTAGCAGAATTGGAGTTAACAGTCGAAGTTCTTCAGTAGTTTTTCGATGGAGTTGCAGAACTTTGATGAGAAAACTCGAAGCCTAGTCTTCTGCATTACAAGTGCGAATAAATA